GCAGAATCTCCTCCACCGCTTGAGGATGGCATTCTTGTTCCGGAGCAGCACGCCGTTCTCGTCTGTAACGAACTGCTGCCCCCCAGCTTGTCTCCCGCTGAGGCCCGTTGACCGCTTGAGGTGTTGGTACAGCCCCCGCATGTCGCGGTCCTGGTAGATCGCTTCGAGCTCCGTCACGTATCTTTCCAGGTGGTCGTAGATGCTAGTTGCGATTGTTGCCTTCACCCCCTTGCACGCTGCTTTGAAGATGCTCCACGTTGCTGCGTTCGGTCTGGCCTTGAAGGCATGCCGCGCCGCCCGTCGCTTGTCAAGGGCGGTCGCCAGGGCTGCCCGTGCCGCGGAGGTCATGTTCCATTCCGGGGTGCGCCGCCTCCGGGGTTCCTCAGACAGCTCCGTCTCCGCCGCGCCAACCAGGGCCTCCGTGAACTCCTTCGCCATTTCCTGAGCGGTGGTCGCCGGCGCGCCCGACCTCGCGAGCAAGTTGCAGAGAAACCGTTGGGATACCGCCCATCGCGCTGCCTCGACCTGCAGATCCTGTCGGTTGAACTGCCGCCGTTTGGGGTTTGTCCGGATAGGTCGGTTGTGGGCCAGCCGGCCACCGAGATCGACGGTGGCTACTACGATGTTGTGGTCTGAGTCCGCGCTGACTGGGCGCACTGGCTGAGATACGACCTCCATGTTGGACACTCGGCCGCGGTGTGATTGGCGCGTCAGGATGTAATCGAGGCACCTACGTTCGCGTCCCGACGGGCCGTTGAACGTATGCCATATCCCGCTCCTCCGTGTGTCGAAGAAGGTGTTGAGGACCGCTAGTCTGTTGTCTGTGGCGAAGGTCAGCAGCAGCCGACCGTTGTCGTTCAGCTCATTGCGCCCGTACTCGCCCATGGTTCCTTCGTTTTCCCTGGCTATCCCTCCTCCGGTCTGGGCATTGGCATCCATGAGCACGAAAAGACACTCCTTAGCGGGGATACGCCGCACGAGACTGTCAAGTTTTTTCCAGAACATGCGTTTACTGTCGGCGGTGGCGACGTCTATGGACTAGACTAATAGTCTAGACTAGTCTATGCATAAACAGCAGTAGACAACGACGGGGCATCTTGGGCGGGGGTATCAACAGGATGAGCTCTTGTTGCAGAGTTGGATGTGTGACGACAGGGGGGTCAGGACATTGCTTGAGAGACAGGAGGCAGAGAGGTGAGATGTGGATATTCGATATACTCGTAGCATAGTATGATGGTTGAGATGTTAAGTACGTACGTACGAATATTGCAGTGATGAGATGTGGAGGAACAGGAACTTTCTATATATTTTCCTTGGTTGTGAGAGGCTTTTGGTGAGGATTCAGAGAGATTCGTTGTGTGAGAAAGCATGAAGGCGTGACTCGATACCGTGATGGTTTGACGAGCACGAGCACGCCCCCGATTAATACTACAACACGTATACAACACGTTTTACAACACGTCTGTACGACTTTACCTACCCCTACGGCCCGTCATGGCCGAGCTGCTCTACACTCCCATCACACACAACTGAGCCACCCGAATTATCGATCACGCTAGCGTATGACACGTCGTCTACGAGATTCGCGTCGAGCTTAGTTTGGAGTATCGCTTTGCGGCGATCAGCAGCTGTCACCGATGTCCAGCGCCGACCAAGAACGAGGCGCCCGTCACGCAGAAGACGAGGACGCCCGCATCAACGAGTTGGTGGAGATGAGGGTACAACAACGACTGGCCGACATAAGGCGGCAACAAGACGAGGAGGAGCAGAGGACAGAGAACGTCCGGACCGGAAGCGAGCACGAGGCACGCCACCAGCAACAAGCGGGGCGGCCATCGGCGAACCCGGCCGTAGATGACATCGCCCGCACTCTCGCCGACGCGCTGACCAGCCGCCTGCAGATATCACCACGGGACAGCGGTAGAGTACCCAATACAGGAGGAAGTATTCGCCTGACTGAGGTTAAGCGCCTAGCGCCTTGGGATGGGATTTTTAGGCAAGGGGAAGATGAGCAGGCAAGATTTTTGATTTTTCGATCGAACATGATTGCTATGTTTGCGCAAGAAGGAGTCAGGGAAGTGGTATTGAGTGACCACAGAATTCCAGTCGGGCTAGAAGGGATAGACATGGAGGAATTGCATAGGATGCACTCGCCTGATAGCGTAGAGAAGGCAATTACGGCGTGGAACCTGCTGATCACGTCTGTAACATACATGCCAATCCTTACCCAGATCATCGCTGATGGTAGTCCAAGCGGAGGTTGGAAAATTTTC